TAAATTCGAGGATACATCCATTGCATTGGACTCTTTTTAAAAAGGCTGAGAAGACGAAACGAAATGAATGAATTACTGAATTCTGTCATTGCTAAGAGAACTAAGACAAAAATTAATTTTCTAGTTTTCTTTCACATTGATTAGCCTAACACTCAATGCTGGAAAAAGTAAGCTAATATGTATCAAAATTCCATCGACTGAACATAATAAAATAAGATTATGAAAATATTTTTCTTGTTTCTTAGCTATTTCAAAATTCGAAAGATTAAGATGAGGATCAGTTGATAAGGAAATATTTCATATGTATCTTCTTTCGGAGAAAACGCGTTATCTTGTAATATTTAAGTACTTTTTAGGCAAATGACGTCACAACCATCGTTACATTATCTTAATACCTCTGTCATAACTTCATACTGTCATAAAGTGTGTTGAAATTAATTGTCGTTTCTTAGAAAACGACTTCAAAGTAGCCGTCACTTAAGACGTACAAATCTTGAAATAAACGTTTCTTCATTTCTATCAAGATAATTAATAGGTTGTTTTAATTGACGTTTATACTAATTTGGTAATTATATAACAACAGTTTCACATTCAGTCAGGCACGGACGCACCAAGAAATAAAAATCCCAGTGCACTTTGACTCAACAGCTCTTTACGAGCTAATGCCTACAAGCAGCGCCCCGGCCTTGCGGTTAAGGGGTGCACCATCTCTACGCTGTACCTGAGAAGTGAGCTTTCTCATCGTCAACAACAACAACAGATACTGGGGCATTGCAAGGAAAGTGCACAATTCATTTTTGCTCCGTCTGGGAAGCGAATCACGTTGTGCCGTGGGAAGCGAGCGCGCTGACCAACGAGCCGCCGAGGGCCAAATGGAAGCAACACTTTGTAAGTAATGGCCAATATTATTTCTGCTTCTGCATTTTCGCTTTTCGAAAAACAATCAAATATGCTCCAACAAACATTTGAGCCCAAAAACAGTTTCCATCGCTAAAATCCAACGTTTTCATGTAATGAAAGTGTCTTATAATGCAAATACCAATTACATCTCAGAAATGTCTCGCAAAGGTGAACTTAACGTGTGGAGAAAACGCCTTAACTATAATGTGTCTAATTTCTTATCAGAAGGTCAGTATGATACACATGTTTAGTATATGATTGGCGAATTTCGTATTTCAAACCAATCTTGTGTAGGATACACACGAGTAGTCCACTTGGCGGTATTCCCGGCATTAAGTCCTTGGAAGGTTCAACGAGAAGACCAAAATAATCTAATAATTACAGCAATAGCTGGTTTTGTCAATGCATTTCCTGTCCACAAAGCGTAGGTGAGTCATTATCCGGGAATCAAAGAAGAGAAATGAAGTCATTGTGTGGGAATGTCTCTGGAAATGACATTGACTTCACCAACGGGACTAGTGTATGGATATAGCAGATGACCGGATGAGCGCGGGGCGAGAGCAGGCAGTGATGTAGCCCGGTGTGGCCTACTATTGCATACACTTGCCAATACCAGGGGAATGTTACTCCTCAGGGAGCGCACGTGAGTAATGGCCCTTATCGTCACCCCCCTCCCCCGTGGATAGTACACAGTTGGGCCGGAATCCGGATATGCTCGCACGCGATGCTGGTGCTCAAGATTCCAGATACGCACATATATCCAAAATATTGGTAAGGCCGTCCCGCCAACTCGAACCTACGAATTTTCCAGGTTTGTACCGGTGCTGTTTTCGTGTCTGTGTCCAGAACAAGTCCCTCAAGCAGCGTAGATGGTGTAATGATTAACGTATCCTGATGTTACATATACCTAAGTCCGCGGCTTTCAACCCGATAGAAACCGTGAATGTTTAAGTGCCAAAAAATCCTTTGTTCGCTTTCCTTTGAAGGAAAAGTAAGTACGGCTGTCTCATGTTGTAGATTTACTGTATGTACAATATCTTGAAGCCTAAAAGAAATCTTTGAGCTAAATTCAAATCGCCTGTTTTGTCGCCCAAGTAATATCTTCTTTCTCCGTTAATTGGTAAAAGGAACGCAACGAAAATTGCGTGGCCAGGTGGAAGAACAGGCCTCATGGCCGAGTGTCGCCACCTACAATAGGCCATAATTGAATGCAATTAAATGTCCAGAAGTATCGGGCGCTATGACGACGACGTGAAGAGCCCAACTGGGGTCCACCCATGCCCCCTACCCGTTTCCTGCCTTTCTACCTTTGCGATCTGCCTTGCTAAAGCTGTCGCCGAAGATCAGGGCAGCCAGGTGGGGGTAGGTGTTGATGCGCGGTGTGTGTGTTGCAGCGCTGGCCGTGCCGTGCGTGCTGATGGTGGCGCAGATGTTCTTGGGAGAGAACGCCACCGCCGCTGTCACTTTCTTCACCATCGCCCTCACCATCAACGGCGCCGTCACCGCGGGCTACCTCGGCAACGGCCTCGACATCGCGCCCAACTTCTCGGGTGAGCGGCGCCTCTACTTGGAGGGGCACCATCACTGCTCTGGTGGCGTGCCGGAACTTTGATTTAACACTCTGATACCAATGATGGAGCGGTTGGGGATTAACGACGTATCCCACTGGAGTTTCTCTCTCTAACTTTGTTTATATAAAGAGTTACTGTTTTTTCATTTATTACTTTTATTATTGAAACCTGCCCTTACCCTAGGTGTTAGTTTCGTCTTTTGTCGTGTATCAGATACTTACAGAACTATGTCAAAACATCGCTATGCGTAATCGCTTCATGGATCCTTCAAGCGTTTTACAATTTGTTCTTCAGTTGGCTGTTGACTGCGCCCTCTCACTCTTGTACTCTGGGTGCCAAAATGGTATTGACCTGAAACTGTTGAGTTTTTACACGGTGTCTCAAATTAATTCATCCCTTAACATTTTTCTCAGAACTTTTCTTCTAATAATCACCATTTCAAAGCTTGACTGTATGGATTTTCGATTATACACTGTCTGCTGGTACAACCTACAGCAGCTGAAACATAAATATACGAGAGTCCGATGTGGCGGGCATTATGGATAGACTCCATATTCTGGGTTTATGACGGCGGCTGTGATTGTAACACGAGTTGATGTGTTGCAGGTACCATCTTCGGCATGGCGAATACTCTGTCGTCACTTGGCGGCTTCCTGTCGGCGTTCATGGTTGGTGTTCTCACGCAAGACAACGTAAGTACCAAGTGCTCGCAAACCTTCTCAATGTTTGTTGCGTCGTATATATTGTGAGATTACGTTCTACGGTTCGTTTTTTTTCCTGGTTAACGACAATTTCATTGATTTAATGGCAATATAGGGAGATCATCCTCCATTATGTTTGAAGCAATAAAAGACAGATTATTCACATGTGCATACGTTTTGGGGATCTTGGTTTTATGCATACAGTCTATGAAAATGTATAATATTCTCCGTTAATCTCTCCATAATTATTAAGTCCTAATTGGATTCATTGATGAGTTTGGATTGACTAAATTACAAAATATATTGAATTTTATTATATTAACTTGAGTCACTCACATTTTTGACACATATATTAAATTGGTCAGTGGAATGTGCTCTAAAATATACCACTTAAATCAATATAGCGGGCGAAAATAACCAGGCACTCTAAAATACTTTCTCATATAAAGTTAGCAATCCTGTAATTAACAAGTGTTTCTTAGTTATTCAAAATCTGTTAGTTTTCGAAAACCCGGGTTTCTTTCAGTTTTCGGGCTCGCTATTTAAATATTCAACGCCTTGCGGTTGCGTTGCATTGAGAGATAAAAGAAAGAGGCGGGAGGTTGAAGAGATAGAACAGAGAGGGGTCGCCCGATTTCATCCCGATCACACCTGTTTCCCAATCAATCCCCTTTTATTTGTGTATTGGCTTCCTCGGAAGACATAGTCCATAGATTGCATCCCGGTTAATGTTTTGGGTCCAGAACAGGAAGGAGAAAACATTTATCTTGCCCGTCGTTCAATTTTTATTTTCATATTCATTAGTGACCTTCACTTTTATAACAGATTTGTGAATATAATTACCTAGTAACACTTTTAAAAGTTTAAATGGTAAAACATGGTACGTATTTAGTCACATATTGAAATCAGAATTGCATAACTGCTACTATTCGACTAAAGAGTTCACTGTCTTCAGACAAAAACTATAATTTTCTATTACAATACATGAATAACTTTACCATACTATAAAATACTACCATATCAATTAGATTCAATAATTTCATCAGATTTGTCACAATTGTTATATATACCACTAAATACGGTCTCTCGTTAATGGTTACATTTGTTAATGATACGAGTACACACACACTCTCTCTCTCCCTGTGTGTGTGTGTCAGTTTGTCTCCGTCTCTCTCCGCATCTCTCTGTCATTCTCCGTATCTTATCTCTCGCCGTTTCTCTCTCTGCCTCTCTCTCGCGCGCATCCGGTTCCCCTGGGCTTTGCCCTGCGACACGCAGCAACGGACAGCAACAATTTAGTCAGAAAGTCTAGCGCTGTTTGAATGGAAATTGAATTAAAATGAAGCGCAATTTGGTCTGCAACGCCATATAATCGAGTTACAACAAAATTAACAACACATAAACCTTCTTGGTGCAGAAACACTTAGATATGACCTCTTGCATGGAAATAGGTCTCATAGTGTCGGCATTTATCGCTTTTAAATGTACCAATATCCATTGTTATATACATAGATATTCCAAACATGCACATCTTTCAATAAAGACATCAAGCCATACACACGACTGTTCGGCTTGCACATCTTGACGTCTGTACGACGTTTCGTCCGTATAAATAGGGTACACACGTGTGTGTACACATATGTGTACCTACATATACGGACGTAACGTCGTACAGACGTCAAGATGTGCAAGCCGAACAGTCGGTAAGAGTTTAGGACATACATGCCTACAAACGTACGGATGCCAAGACGTCATGACGTCAGGACGTAAATATGTAAATGGAAGGAATTATAACTATAAAGTTAATAATTGTGGTCCTTTGTTACAGCAAACGTACGGACAGTGGCGGATCGTGTTCGGCATCATCGCGGCCACGTACGGGCTGGGCGCGATCGTGTACCTGGCGCTGGGCTCGGGCGAGCTGCAGCCCTGGAACGCTGGCGCGGGCGCCAGCGCGGGCCCCGATGGCGACGACGACGAGGAGCAGCACAAGGCCGCCAACGGCACCAACGGCCACCACGCCAACCACGACGATCATCCCCCGGAGACCATTCCCCTGCGCAAGGACGCCAGCCGGTGAGGCGCCACGCCCACGCCCATCCCCGTCACGACTCGGCAGCGGAGCCGCGTCTTTCACATTTCCACACGGCGACACCTTCAGGACACATGGAAGAGTTTGCGGAACATTTTAGTGTTTTGACTTAGAGAGTGTAGCGGAATATTACGAGGCAACCAGGTAACGCCAAGCCACGCTTCGCCTCACCCCGCCACGTCACGCTAATCAACACCACGTGACTCTACGTTCGTCGACCGCTAGCAAATCAGCGTTTTAACATGGTGCCATCAATAGGACGAAATGCTTAATATTAGAGAGATTTTGCGGAGCATAGCAAAAACCGTTATGAACAAAACATGCGACTTTAATCGAGTAAATAAAAGTCATTTAGCATGTTTTGTTCTAAACGAAAGTAGAAACTCTGATGGAAAAATGTGCTGCTAACAAAGAATTCCAAAACTACCTTAACCTCTTTTGATAGTCGTTTGTGTGATTTGAGATACAAGTATCATATTAAAGCATGTGTATATAGAATTACGAGTACACTCTGGCACCACAATTGACAAAAATTGTGATCACTTGACTTGTATCGAACAACACGAGACAAGTAATCACTAACAAGTTTTGGTGGAGCAGACTTTTCCATCTAACAGACTATTTCTCTAACGTACGGTTAGAGAAATTAAGAAATGTTCATAGTGTACACAAAAAAATGCTTCTTGCGTCGCAAGAACTCTCTATTTAGACGTGGCCCTCTTACAGATTGGTGACACCTCTCAACAGTAACGCATAATGGTGGGTGAGAAAGTGCCGCATTCACAGCCTCCAGCGCAGCTGAGCCTTATCAGCAACCAAATTCGCGCACTAGTAACTTGAAATTCCACTCCGGTGGGCTGCCTTCTCTCTTTGCCGAGCAGCGGAAACAGCTTCTCTCCTTCGCGGCCGAATGCACTAACCCACGGACGTTTTGCCTCGGCACGCTGATGCTATTGGTATTTGTGGCTCCAGTGAAGAAGCTGATTAGATATCTTTTTTCTGGAAACAAGTTAGGTGAACTACTGCTTTGTCAAAATCATTTTATACTTTCATGAGTAATCAAATTAGTTAAATTTTTTCTGGTTGTAGACGGATGAACACATATGTATTTAAAAAAATAAAAAACACTTATAAAGATAGCTTGAGCCAGCTCAATTTTCACGATTTAACAAAAACTTGCGGCCATTGATTACCATCAAACAAGTAGAGTTGTCTATTTTTTCATGCTTGAAGATTACTCAATATATAAATGCAGAATGGTAGGTACTGTTGTTCTGTAAAAATTAATTTTTTGCGAGCTCTCAGCTTATTCACAGGGGTCAAAGAAAAATATGAAGATCTGTGCAATTGAACTTCTACGGCAATGATGGATCGCATGGTGGCGACACACAAACTGTGAGGCATGTATGTGTTGCTGGTTCCAAACGAATGTCTGCGGGCCCAGCTTGGGTCAGGTGCGTGTCCGGAGCGGGCTTCTGTACAGCTAAAGGAAAGCACGGACGGCTGGTTGATTCTGCCGGGAGTTAGTGGTCTCACTTAATACGACTTCTGCCGGCATTCGTTTATGCGGTGTACAAATACAAACTGCTCTTTAAAAGTTGTAAAACTAGCAGAAACCATTTCATCAATTCTTTTTCATATTTCTGCTCCAATTTTTAAAATTTAACCCCAGTTCTTTTGGCGATTATTCGTTCATCAACGATACTTTTGCCTTCGACCATACTTAATGGTTACGTTTGGTGGTTAAGTAAATTAAAGGTGGTTTGAAATCCTTACGGACCTAAACGGTTCGCCGGAACTGGACACAATGTGACCATGTCTGCGTTCTTGTGAGTTTTTTAAATATTCAGTAGTTAACTTCCGTGTTTTTCCGGACGTGATTTAGGCCCAACACACGTTCAGTGACCATATTCTAAAGTAAAAATGTATCGATGATTGCTTTGAGCATGCGCCAGACTGCGTGACGTCAGCTTGCGAAACATCATTACAAGGATCGTAGTTCATCATTGAACGACATCTTCTCCAGTTACATCACGTACAAGCATGATACAAGACGAAGGGAGCAAAAAATTGTGTATCCCCACAGTGTAGTCATCATCACATGACACATGTGTTTTGAGTGAGACTGTTTTTAAAAGCGGTTTGACAGCTTATTGCATTACACCATTATTTCAGCATTAAAGTACCTGAAGTCCGGGTAACTTTGTTTCTATTGCAGATTGCTTTGCCCCAAACTATATTGAAGACTGACTTGCATCATTACTGGTGAGGTTTTGTGGAATTGCCGTTGTGGACGATTCTGAAGCAATTGACTCTTGGCTCGCATGATTAAGTCAGTTTTTGCCGTTAACATTTGTGAAAATTTTTTCAAAAAAAAGGTGTTTATTGGAAGTCATTATTTCTAATTTGGGTCACAATTATCAATCACTGAATTGTTGTTCAGTTATCTGACTCTGGAATAAATTTACCACTTTAGTCACGTCGTTGGTGACATCTATATCCGTGAGGGCGGAGGAAAAATTAATTCATACTAGTCTCAGTAATTTGCGTGATAACGCGACATTTCGATAACAGGGACAATCTGTCGAGTTCGATGATATTTTTCTCGCCAGTCGTCTCGAGAACGAATGAAACTTTCCGTACTTTACAGCGTCTTTAGTAGCATTCCCTCTGTCATTGTGCAATTCTAAACAGAGTTTGCACTCCTACCTAAAATAACACTCTGGTACTGTTAACAAAAAACCTAATAAAAATAGGGAAACATAATTCAATCAGGAGACTCTCGATTACGCGAAATTGACGATAGTGAATTGTTTTTATACCATTCAGAAACAAAACTTCAGAATGCAGTTTTGATCCTTTGAGATCGCATATTCGATCCAGTATTGTAGGAAAATTGTAGGACATTTATAGCTCATCAAAATATACTTACTGTATTAATCATTGATATAAAATACTCTACCATGTTGAGTTATATAACACTATATGTAACCCTAATTCCATTTTTATTGTTCATTGAGCTTCCCTTCTATCCAGATGTTCATACGATCGAGTTCCATTTAATGAGAGTCTACTGTATTTTTTGTTTTTTATACCCAAATGAAGGTCAAATGCCATTCTGAGAGGGGTAGACATTGTCGTTAAGCACCGCACTGTATTACCCTACCTCTGCTCGTGTTACGAGCATCTCCAGTTTCTAGTTGTCGGTCAAGATTCTTGAACAACAGACGTTCCAATGCCTGTGGTCGAAGTGGTGGGACGTTCCCTGCTTAGTATTTATTTGGGATGTCTGTCTTGCAAACTTAATCCGATTCATAATGTTTAATTTGTGACGATAATTGAATAGATTGATTTTTATTATGTCATTAGAGTTCAGGAAATTCCTTCGGTTCAGGATCGAGAAGTCGGGCATTTGAGCGGACCCGACGGTTCACGTTGCTTCGTATCGACTGTCCAAAGCGAAATGGGAAACGTTGTAGTAATGGAGCCGCCAAGTCCATCGCTCCCGAGCACCTGATCCCACCCCGAGCTCGATTTAATGCTAGCACAAACCTACACAAACGAGATGGCTTGCTCGTTTACAGTTTTTGATGTCACAGAAGCAGTGTATTAATTATGATAAAGCCTTTTAAAATTGTTTTAAATTGTCAAACTAATTTGACATTATGTTTGTTTTCATGCTGTAGCAACGTCATTAACCTTCAAGCGATCGCAATAAATGCCACCTTTGAAAATAAAACGGCGCTGCGCGTTGATGTTTGAACTCAGCATAGGTCAGGTATTCTCTGTTTATATATTAAAACAAAAAAGCGATAACATCTTTTCCAAGACCCACTCACATTTGCGCCAAATTCGCGCAAAAGTAACCAACGTCATCAGTTTTCGCTCTAGACGGCATAAACACCGCCACGCGATCGCGCCTCTTCCAGTTTTTTCTCACGATAATGATGATAACGTATGATTACTTTTTTAATATATTTTTGAAATAAAAATGATGTAACAATCTTTTTATGCTAATTATTGTTTGAATTAAATGAATTGGTTACTCAGTACCTGCATTTTGTTGGCGATTTCAGTGGATTTTAGTTATCTAGATTCCTAATATTTTCTATTCTCGTTTTATTACAATATATTTAGCTTCCTTCACAATATCTCTTCCCATCTTTACTATTTTCAGTGTATTAAATTTTTACCTTCCTACTTCTTTAGATTTTTATTATGTCATTATATTGTATGTATTTGTCATCAGTATTTTGGGAAGCCTAAATAGAAGACTGATTTGGCAGATAATCTTCGTCAGAAATTTCTTTTCTGAAGAATAATTAAAATTGTTTCAATAATATTTTTTAATCTACTACAATGGCCAGTTTATGTTAATTAATAAATTCTCCATGTCTAGATAAAGAGAAGCTGTAATATTAAGAAAAGAAAAGGATGTTAGTCGGCGGCAAAAATACTGCCCCGCGACTATGCATGTGACACTAAAACGCGCCAGCATTAGAAAGTCAAATTGAAAATTCTTTTTATATTGTTACTTTGCCGCTGAACTCTGATTGAGATGGCTCTGAAATTTCTATAGCACTGCTTCTGTGACTTTTTAAGCACTTTTCTCTAAGACCACGTTACAATATTACAATTCACCGTTAATCTTTCGTACGCGTTCCATCTATTTATTCTTGAACCTTCCAAGGGACTTGATAAATTCTTCTACTTTTTCGTGTTCTTCGTTGTAAGTCTTTCATTGAGATTGCTTTCTTATTAAACTCCGTTAGATGCTATTATCGTTTCACTTGCGTTCGTATCTGTTTCGATAGTTCAAAATATTGATTCATTACAATAATGATCAAAATATAAGCAGTTATTTTTTGATGTGCATATTTAAGAGGATATTCAGAATCGTCAAATGTCTCGATAACCACAGCGAAGCAATGTGTCTTTTTAGTTTTCTTGTCAAATAATTTTAATGTATGAAACTGAATTGATGTAGAAAAATTGCAATTTCATTTTTTTTCTTTCATATCCTATGCATTCGTGGATCCATGATTTAAAAAAATGAATGTGCATTATATTCAATAATTTACTTTCTGTTTCACATTTCAAATTTATGACATTTTATTGTTTTAAAAAATAGTACGAAATGTTTAAAACAAGATAACATTATGATACGAATTTACTGTAAAAGTAAAATATTTCACAGTTGTAATGGCGTGATTATAAGGCGGGCTAAAGATCCAAACCTCGTTACTATATCGATAATAAAATTGTTGGCTTTTATATTAAGTTGTTTTGGAATACTCGTGATTAGTACTTTAGTGGTAAGGAATGGGATTTATATACTCATTAAGGATATCTCTGTCAGGGAGAATATATTATACAAATGTGTTAAATTTTTCCTAATGTTTGTACTAGCTCACGTAATGGTATTTTGTAGCTAAATGTACGAATATTAAGTAGCTACATGTTTGCGTAAAGCAAAACATAATTATTATTGATAGAAGCTGGAAGCTATAAAATTACTGTTTAAGATAATGTATAAATAATTGCATGATAATTTACTTTAATTTGTTAGTGTACTGCAGTGGATCTGACGTACCCACCTTATGTGTACTAGGGTACTAGGGTGTGCTAACTGTATGACCTCTGTGTTATGCAAATGAAAAATAATGATGGAGAACTTGTGCTGATCCTGCGTATCCCATTCCTTTTTGCATTGATGATCCAAAGTCTTGACATTACTTGTTATTATTTTGAGTCTGAAATCAGAAACAATAATTTGCAGCTAATGAGAAGTTATCAAGATATTCATATCTCAGAGGTTTAGTACATTCACTTAAAAGTTACTCACTTTATATGCCAATAAAACACAAAGATTCAAGATTGAATTCTTGATTCAGTACTTTGCTTTAACTTTCATTTATATAACGTATCGTAATTAAAGTATTTGGCATAATATATTTTAATACCTTAATCTGTAAAATAATAGTGCCAGACTATTGATCTGAGATGTTTTTATTCTTGTAATTCTCAATTTCTGCAATCGAAATAAAATCGGTGAGTGTGGCAGATGAATCTCATGTCTATGCCGTAGAATGTCTTCACTTTGCTTGGAGAAATGCAAGTTTGATACATTACTGCAAACAATTCTCAACTTTAATGATAAATGTTTGACATGAAAATTTCTTACATAGTTATGTTTAGATGTTCGATAGTCGTGAATAAATTCCACGATATTTTTTTCTTCGTGTAATTTTTTATTAACACTTAAGTTGCAAGAAATAGATGCACTGCAATTAGTATCTGTGGTGGATTTGTTTATGTATTGATTATAAATACCATTATATGTGTATGCACTGCATTGTGACCACAGAGCTATTTATGAATCAACAAATTGCTATTATATTTTTAAAAAATTAGAGTAGATTATTGTCTTTGAGAATGTGTATTTTATTGCTTATATAAAGTAATTTTGTATTGTTTAATCTGCGGCATAGGCATCATTATAATTAAGTCAGAAGAAAGTAGAATTTCTGTTTTGAGTTCAAAATTGTTTTTGCAGTGAGCACATACTTGCATGATTGGTGTTTGGATACGAGAGATGTGTAGAATAGTTCTTAGTTGTATTGGAACTTGCCATGACATCAATATGAATCAAAATCTTTCTAAATTATTTCATACCCACCTAATAACAATGATCGCATAACTTTAAAAAGCGGCATCAATAATACTAAAAGGTAATTAAAAGATCATTACTGAAATGTCATATTGTAAAAATAAGACATAAGATATTTTCATAGGAACTTGATAATCTCCTTACTGTTTCTGATCAATGTTGCAAAACGTTTTTGTTACATAGCCGGTGTGTGCGACCATTTTGCGTAAGCTTGTGTTGTGCTTATTCTGCTTAACTCAAATTGTACAAAGTTAACTTACATTAGTATATGGTATTTGTTAGTGAATGTCTGTCTCATGAGAGCAATATACCTGGCAGAGATTTAGTAAAAATGAATGCTGCCTTCACAGTTAATCAACTAAAGTTTAGAAATATTAACACAAAGAATATTTTTAAATTATCTGTAGTTATTTATAAAAATCCATGTGCTAATGCACTAATTTCTGCCGTTTCTCACATCTGATAAAGATTTTTTTAAGTTTATTAAACAAATTAAATTAATTGTGAGGGTGACAGCATTTCATTTTACCATTGCACTTATGAGCACATTGAAACATTTTGTTCCTTTATTTTCATCCACCTCATTATCTATCACATTAGAGATGAGATGTAACCATAGGGCATTTTCTTGAAAATTGTTTAATTTTTATACTCCTGGAGAAACAAATCTAAACACAACAGAATAGCTGCAGGTAAATTAATAATGTGGAATGTTTCTGTTGACTGAAATAACTGATTTGCCATGAGTCTGTGATTATATTTGCTGCTGTTTCAACTGTATCTGACATTAAAAGCTGACAGTGCTGGAGCTAGATATTTTACAAGTTCAGGATCTGAGATTGAAATGAAGGGCACCACACCAAAAACCGATATTATTATTTGAAAAGTCAAAAAAAAAATTATTAAATAATTTTACCACATTCATTAATTCCGGTTTATTTCTGTATTTATGAATAATTGCAAATTGTTTCGGGTAGCTTAGTACTTAATGTGATCATAAAAAAAACTATTTTTGGAACTTTTATTCCTGTTTTTGGTTCGAGCTTTCCACCTTTTGGTGCCTGAAAAAATCGTCCCCTTACTCTCGATGCTTAGCACTGGCACTGTCTACTATGTTTGCTCGCTGTGCAAATTAACTTGCCAGATATGCATTCCAGCGGAGACACATGAGTCATGATTGCGCATGCTTTGTCAGTGTCTTTTTAATGTTTTGTATAGAATTAGAACTCAATCTGTAATATATCGTTATTTTTCCAATAAAGATTTTGAAGTTCTTTTCAAATGTATTACTTTGTTTATAAATAAGTGTTCTTACCTGTCCACAATATTTAGCTAACAATTATTACTTTCTAGCTCTAAGATTATTAGTCCTATATGTGTAGTGCACTGTGTTCTCGGGAGGTACCGGCGATCTTCCCACTGAGATCTAACACCAACCTACCGTCGGTTAACAAGGTTTCCCTCAACCAGGTATCTCCCACCATCGGGACACCGTCTCATCCGGAACAAACGCTTAGAAACCGCCTGGTCCCTCGATACGTGTGCTAGAGTAATGCATGCAAGTCTAAGGGCTGAGGATACAACATTGTATGGGAAAGAAATATCGCTTGGTCAGTGGCCCGTCTGTTAGGGTACAGCCCCGGCATTCACCCGGCATTCATCAGAAAAATTACGGAAAAATCAGATCAGTGCAGCCTGCCGCCAGAATTCTTCTTCAGACAGCGACTGGATTCGACCTAGCTATCTAGATAATGTCGAAAATCTTGCCAGCGTCGAGACTCGCACCTGGGACTTGCCGGTCAGAGGCGCTGCAAAGACATCAGTTGATATCCTTAGCTACTTCTCCTGGTAAAACCTAGTGGTTCCAAAACAGCACATACTTTCTCGCCGTTTGTAATAGTTATGTAATACTATTTATATCACAACTCTCCGAATTAACACATCTCAGTTATCATTATTTGTTAAACTCACTACAAACTTAATACAGTAAAATCTGTACAAACCGGAATCGATTGGGTCAAAGGAATATTCCGGTTTAAGGATATTTCCGTTTTATGCAGGATTGTCCATTTTATGACTTGTTTTATTAATATTTCCGTTCTGAAACTAATAAACTACATGACTATTATAATTATAAAATATATTAACATAAATCATTATGGAAGAAATCACCAATAAATAAATATTAAACATGTTTCTGCCAATTAAAGGAAACACTTCAAAACTTGTGCACTAAAATAATATTATTTTTCCCACATTTATCTACAGTTTTTTGCTTCTTGGTTTTGCCACTTACTAACACATTTTCAATTATATGTTTTTGTTGAAAAATGTCAATATTTAGGGTATTTTGTTGTTTTTTCAACCATTATTTAACTGGTTGTGTAACTCATAAAACACACCACCTAACTTCCTAGTGGCTGCACCCGGACTGCTCGCCGACTCTTTCAACGCACAATGCGTTGAGTATTTAAGCATTGTTCCACAGCGGGGCGTGCGAAGAAAGGAGGGCTCTGGCTACGTCACGGCAACCCTGGCCGAGAAGTTACGATTTTCAAAGTGTGGGGCCGGTAGATGTGTGAATACAAGCCATGCCCGTGCACTTTTACAAGCTCAGAGAGCCGGGAGAGGGAATTCCTCTAGAGCCTACGCCTGGCGAAACAAGCCACCCCGAGGACCAAACTGAGAACTGAAGCTTCTCTCCTTCACTGTGCTGATGCGACGACTGAAACATATCTCTGGGGCCGAGAAACAAAACAGAGTTCCAGACGCATTCATTCCATGACTATCGTCTCTTTGTCAAGTGCATTCAGTTCGCAGAAATTCCGTTTTATGAAGGTTTTCTCCCCTGAAAAACTGTTCCGTTTTTGTGTTGGACAAATTCCGTTTTATGATGTGTAAAATGCCATTTAATTTCATTGGCCTGGGAATTTTTCCACTTAAGGCAGGTTTCCGGCTTGTACAAGTTCCGGTTTGGACATATTTTACTGTATTTTCTAGCAAATATCAACACATTGCCACACAGTGCGAATTATAACTGTGTTTCATAGAGGTAAATTATGTATTCTGATACCACAAATTTGATATTCCCTAAAGGCTAGCAATTTTTATTTTATATATTTCAAATATGTTTTAAATAATATATAAAATATTTATTATCAAACGTATAACAAATGGTCGAATGTAAGAAACGAAAAAGAGATATGAAGTTACATTCAAATTCTAACTTACGATGCATCCAACTGCCTGGAATTATGTCCACAGTACATTCGGAAGGGCGATTGTTTGTCGCCAAATTACACAAAAAATACTAATTTCTTCATAAAATTCAAGATGACATTATTCAAGATCTGTTTTTGAGGAACATATTTCATTAAAAAATATTTTTTGTTCACAATTGTAGTTGTAGGAACACGCCGAAATGTTGTTAATTTAAAAAATTCGAAATATTAGGCAATTCAACGAACATCAGACTTGCACGACTCTATTAAGCGTTCTTTGCTCTATATATGGTCTAAATTTAATAAAAAAATGTCCCGTTTTTAAGAAAAAATAGTTGGAAGGAAATAAAAATTGCGTTGACAGAAACGTCTGCAAAAGTACTCATGTTTGTGAAAAATTGAACGTGAGATTATTTTTAGATCTGTTTCTCAAAAACATTTCATAAAAAAATGTTCATCTTCGTAATTGTACTTGTAAGAAGACGCCGAACAAAAATTCGATTTTCGAAAAATGAAGGTTTTCAACAGACTTGAGACTTGCGTCATTCTCTTAAACGTTCGGAACATTATCCAATAAGAAAGTTTAATTAAAACGTTGGAGCCATTTTTTTGAAAATTTGGAATAAGTCCCAAGCTCTTCGTGTAAAATATCCCCAAAATTAAATTATCGGTTTCAAATTAAAGAAGCTGCGACATCAGCTAGATCGATTGGAGAATATAAATTTTGAAGAAAATCGGCTGAACGGTTTAGCCGTTAGCTTTGTTCACAGACGGAAAGACTGAACAGAATAATTGAACTTGAACTTATTTAAAGGTCCGTCTTATTTAAATACCCGATGTAACAGATTTCATTAAGAAATAAAACCTCCAGCTTCAATATTATAGTTGAAGGTAGACGCCACAAAAGAGTTGTACTTCTGCAATTTAAAAAAATTCTTTTTTAATTTATTTAACCAGATTAATGAAATTATAAATTTACAAGTGAGTATTAATTTTTAAGTACTAATTAAAATCAATAGTGACTCGAAGTTATAAGTCATTTAGCGCACTACCATACCCCCATATCCAGCTACCTACCATACCCCTTGATCAAGGTCATCCCCACTGGGTACCTCTATGACAATTGTTAATTTTGTGAAATTGAATGTAACAAGAAAGTAAGATATAGAGAGAGAGAAATGACACAAAAAATCTCTAGATTATGAAGGAAAACATCTTTTGGGAGACGGGATTTAATTCTTGTAGGAGCACCTGGTTTTCCCGCAGTGAAACTGGCTGGTTCAAGGGACAGTTTAGAGGTTAGAAAATAATTTGGACGACAATGTAATTGGTGCTTGGTTCAATACATAGTTCTCTATGTAGTTGTTTATTAATTATATACCACGAGTAATTAGTAATTTTACGAAGCATTTTATTTTGGAAGGTTTGTAAGGGTTTTATAACGGAAGAAGCGTCACCTTCCCAGATTGGGGCTGCGTAAGTTATTGACAGTCTTAGAACAGATTTGAAGAAAAAACAATTTTCAATTTTTAGAGGTGATGTTTTGTTAATAAGGTAATATAATTTGAGTAGGCTTCGTAAGTGTTATTCAGTCTATGAATAATATGAAGTTTCCATGTGAGACGAGTATCCAGGAGGATGCGTAGGAATTATTGATTTATTTGAAGGAGCCCATGTAATTGGGTAATTACTTACTTTTAAAGGAGAAACCATATTTGTTCTTAACAAGGTAAAACTTTTGATCTCGCGTTTTGAGGAGTTTATCTGTAATTCTCACATTTTTCTTCATTCAGAAAACGTATTTAAGTCTTGTTGCAGGTCATTTATTGCTTCAGAGATGAAGTCGCTGGATGTTAAGATTGCTGTCAGCATAGAGAGCCGATTGATAGTTTCTTCCGTGGGATATCTTTCGTAAAGATACTAAAGAGTTTTGGATGGAGTGAGGATCCTTGAACCCCGGCTAGAATTGGGGTAGGTAAAGATAGGGTATTGTTTATTTTTTCTGTGAGGAATCCATTATTCAAAAAGCATTTTTTGGGGGATTTATTTGGTTATACAATAGGAATTACTATTAATTTTTTCCAGCATGAAGGGAATAACCTGTCTTAGACAACTGGTGATGATAGTCGTTACATTTGCAAGAGCAAATAGTGGAAGATGTTTTGAGCCAAGAGGTCTACTCCGGGCGAGGATTTTTTTTCTTGATTAATTGTTTAATAGTGCAGTTATATAGAGTCATTTAGTTATTTTCCTACTGATGTATTCTCGTTGGTAGGTTAATCTTTTAAGTACGCAGATTTGAAGTGTGCTGTGAGTGCGTCTAGCTTATCCGGAGTCATATACGCAATTTTTCATTCAGTTATAAGCGAGGATATTTTTTGGATTGGACGGGTGAAATGTCGGAAGACTTTTCTAGTGTTGTTCGAATTTTTATCTAATTTAGAGATTATATGATGAAATTTTTGTTTATGATACTGTTTGAGAGCATTGTGGAGTTTGCTTCTGCTAGAGTAGCTTTATTAAGGTTCGTTTTTAAGATAGGGAGGCGGTGTATCTGTCATCGGTGTCTGATTTGACGTTTGAGGGATATGCGGATCGGTATATTACGTTGGCTGGGATTCGTTAAGTGATAAATTGGATTTTTAGGATTTGTAGATACTTCTTTGGGTGTCTCAAGTATTGCCGTTGTAAGAAAAGATATTGCTTGTACTATTTGATTAGTAGACTTTGGGAAAGCAGGCAGAGGAATTTAATTGTAAACAATTAAAATTAAAACAATACTTCAAATACGTGCCAATTTAATTTTTTTATGGAAAGGATTCATGAAAGACGGTATTATTGTATTTACATTTGTAGATATTAGCATAGGACAATGATTTGTTAGAACAAATTGTCACGTAGGTTTATTAAAATCTTAGGCCACTACAATATCTAGAATGTCAGGTGAAATTCTAGGATTACATAGATAATAAGTAGGGTCGATAGCCGCATAGACAGTTAGATTTTGTTTTATGATACACTTGAATAGAATTTTTCCGTTGGCTCGTATTTCTACAGCCCGAACT